CTCATTTTTATATTTGTTAATCACTTAAAAATCATTTTAATTTTGTTTTTGTGGAACGCCTCGTGATTTTTTATGGTGCTTTATAAAAAATGTTCCTTCTTCTATTTGAATTATAGTGGGGGAATGCCATAAGCTGGTCTACAGTCTAAATTTTGTGTAGCTGAGTCATTTAAACCTATTTTACAATCAGACTTTATTTTGTCATTTTCAGTATGATTGCGCATAAATATCAACTGTCTAACCTCCATCATTTCTGTCTTAGTAAAACACAACCTTAGTAAACTCCTAAAGGTCTTCGAGATAAAATAGACCCTTTTTAGTCCCACGAGTACTCTGTATGCAGAAACATCTAGCCAGCTGCCATCATGCTCACACATGTCCACCCATGCTACCCATGATAAATCAGCTCTTAATTCCTGCTGACTTGTTTGTTTCTGTCTGTTAACCTTCTGAGAATCACATTATAACTTCTTCACCGGGTGAATTCAGTGTCTGTATCTGCTGAACAACAGAGAAATGCACGACCCTGAGACTGTCTGGATTATTTAGTGCAAACACGTTGTGGTTTGATGCTTTTAGTCATAAATCTAATGTCCCAGCGTGTCTGGGCTATTTAATCATTTGATAAATCTGTTCAGTTTTCTCTTTGTGCAGGATTGTTGGGTAAATAATTCTGCGTGTGATCTCAAGATCATTAGGGTTTTTCTCATTATTTGTCATCAGAAGTTTAAGAAAATATGACGTTTGATGAATAACTGATGCAGTAAAGAGTTAATTATGTTGGCACTGACTTTCAGTGAGACAGAGAAGCATCACATATTCTTATACAAGGAGAGTAAAAACAAAAGCTTTCACCTTGCTGCACACAGACCGTGAGTGGGCCTCTGAAAGGATCCCTTAAAAATGCCTGTCTCGATGAGTTCATGCACACGTGCACAAGTTCAGACTCAAGCGCACTCCATTTGCACCCACACACTGAAGGAACAGAAGTGTAAAATCCAAGTCAGGAGTTCCTTTAGTCCTCCTCTGAGATAAAAAAAATTCTCCTACAGAGGAGCGGATTTATTATCGTGTTTTCTTTCTTATTGTTTAATTTCTGCTGCTTCACTAAATTGGTGATTTTTGGTAGAGGTATTTATGGCTTTTATTACAAACAAATGTTTATTTTACTTTTTTCTCTTCCTCCTGCAGACGACGGGTCTTACCAGAGAGAACCACCTCCTCCTGCTCCTCCTCCCTGCTCTCCCCCCAACCCTAACCCTCCGCTGGAGGAGCACAGAAAGAGCCTCATCCCAGAGGAGTTTGCAGGACTTCTTCATGGATCTTCCCCCGCTTGTGACCCTCCTGACACGCCTTATCACCTCTACAGCCCTAAACATTTTAAATATACCCCCGCAGACGGGCAAAGTAGCCTTCTTCAGAACCCTGAGTTCAGCATTGTGATTGGTGGAGGAGCCTCTCGGGGCTTCTCCAGGACTGGAGGCCAGTCATCTCCTCAGAGGTTCAACAGCAACTCTCCAAAGCCCCAGGTTGTGTACCGGACTGTTTTTCACACGAAGGTCAACCAAGACCAGGTCCGAACTAGGAACTGTGAGGAGGATTCAGCTCCCGTATGGTCCTCCCTGAGCCACCCGCCCTCTTGTCCCACAGAGCAGAACGGAGAAGTTCCTCAGTCACGGGAGAACCGGACAGGAGGCGAGTCTAAGGAGGGTTTATCTGGAGCTAGCTACGAGGAGAGGGCTTGTACCCTAGGGAGGATGAGGTCGGTGCCACGCAGCGTGTTGGACCTGCAGCTGTCCAAGTCATTGTCCAAGTCCGATTCCAACCTCGTGGCCATTTCTCCCATACAGGTCAGAGCTCAACAGTAGTTTAGATCAACATCTGAGTTGTTTTAACAGAGAATAGATGGATTTGTTAAATACTGGAGTCGGCTGCATCATGTGACTTGATAAGCAGAGTTCAAACAAGTTGAGCTCGTTAGATAACTTGTTCATCTGGGCCACAGCGTTCCCTGTTGTGCAGCTCTTTTGAGATGTAATTTGATTTGAATTAATAATAAGCCCGATGCATATTCTGTTTGATTAACTGTGGTGGTTCTAAGTAGCATTTTTGCTTTTTCACACATGTAGGATCAATAGATTAGCTTCATTTTTACTTTTAAATGATTTTTTTTCTCCTTAAGGAGGAACACAGTTGGGGGTCTGGATCCCGGGGCCAAGGTCCTGGAAGCCCCAGCCCACGCGAGGGGGCCAGCCCTGAGAGGAGGCTGGAGCGAACGCCGTCCTTTACTGCGGAGTGGGAAGAGGTAGTTTCTTCTCCTTTTGACATGTTACAGCTTAAAATCCATTTTTCGTAAATACTGTTGAAATAAAAAATGAAAAAGTTTCTGACTGATGACCGGGCTGCAACACTGTTTGTGTTTTTGCTGTAAAACTGAATAAGTTCTTCAAAAGGAACCATTTCCACTGGCGTGAAAACTGCCCTCTCGGCAGTGAGCTGCTTCATCTGGTCTCCCTGATGCAGAAGAGCAAATAGCTAATTTAATGTTCGCTCGCACTGATGATGTTGGAGCTGCAGGAGGATCTGAGGTTTAGGAGGAAACCAGTTCTGTTTTAGGGATAAAGAGCAGCGTTGGTGGCTGTTGTGGTTCCAGCATCTCTTAAGATCTCAGGTGGTTCTCAGGCCGCCACATTTGTTTATTTGGGACTTTTCACACAGTTTCAGCTGCACAAAGGTCCGTAGAGGAAATAAACCAGCAGCAAAAAGAAAACTTCAAAGTTAGAACAGAAATAATCAATAAAGGAATAAACTCGGGCGGAGTGATATTAATGTATCAAAGTATCGATTCTTGCAAGATAAACTTTAGACTTGAACTGTTTGCAGAAAATGTTATTCATGTATGTTTTGTCATCACAATATTCAGCAATGTCAACACAGACTTTGTGCTGCTCAACAAAAAAGTATTACCTGTAATGTTAAAGAAATGTGAATATATTGATGAGGAAGGGTCAAAGGTATTAATGCAAGAAAAATAAAATAAAACATGATGGGTGGGTCTTTCAAATTATCCATCCATCCATCCATCCATCCATCCATTTTCATCCGCTTATCCGGAGTCGGGTCACCGGGACAGTAGCCTAAGGCGAAAGGCCCAGACTTCCCTCTCCCCAGCCACTTGGGCCAGCTCCTCCAGGGAAATCCCAAGGCGTTCCCTGGCGGGTGAGAGACATAGTCCCTCAAACGTGTCCGGGGTCTACCTTTAGGTCTCCTCCCGGTTGGACGTGCCCAGAAAACCTCACCAGGGAGGCATCCAGGAGGCATCCTGACCAGATGCCCGAGCCACCTCAACTGGCTCCTCTCAATGTGGAGGAGCAGCGGGTCTAGTCCGAGCCCCTCCCGGATGACAGAGCTTCTCACCCTATCTCTAAGGGAGAGCCCAGCCACTCTTCGGAGAAAATTCATTTCGGCCGCTTGTATCCGCGATCTCGTTCTTTCGGTCACTACCCAAAGCTCGTGACCATAGGTGAGGGTAGGAACATAGATCGACCGATAAATCGAGAGCTTCACCTTCTGACTCAGCTCTCTCTTCACCACGACAGACCGGTACAACGCCCGCATCACTGCAGATGCAGCACCAATCCGCCTATCGATCTCACGCTCCAGTTTTCCCTCACTCGTGAACAAGACCCCGAGATACTTAAACTCCTCCACTTGGGGCAGGATCTCATCCCTGACCCGGAGAAGGCATTCTACCCTTTTCCGAATCGAGACCATAGTCTCAGATTTAGAGGAGCTGATTCTCATCCCAGCTGCTTCACACTCGGCTGTGAACCACTCCAGCGAAAGCTGAAGATCACGTTCTGATGAAGACAACAGGACCACATCATCTGCAAACAGCAGAGACCTGATCCTCAGGCCATCAAAACAGATTCCCTCCACACCTTGGCTGCACCTAGAAATCCTGTTCATAAAGGTTTTGAACAGAATCGGTGACAAAGGGCAGCCTTGGCGGAGTCCAACTCTCACTGGGAACGAGCCCGACTTACTGGCAGCAATGCGGACCAACCTCTGACACCGGTCATACAGGGACCTAACAGCCCGTATCAGAGGGCCTGGCACCCCATACTCAATGGAGCGTTGCCAGACTAAATAATACATTTATTTAGTCTGGCTTGCCAGGCTAGAAGAAAGTATCATTTCTATAGCGCCTCTCAAGAAAAAAATCACGAGGCGCTTCACAAAAACAAAAAATGTAAAAATATAAAAAATCATTTGGAAAATGTTGAAAAATATATTTAAAATAAGCAAAAATAGACAATTGTGATTAAAAAAATGTTAAGAAAGAGAGAGAGTGATTAGGAAAGAAGGAAATCAGTGGATCCTGAGGAAGGTGGAATAGGTGGGGAGAGCAGAAGAAGAAGAAAATATCATTTCTATAGCGCCTCTCAAGATAAAAATCACGAGGCGCTTCACAAAAACAAAAACAAAAAATATAAAAATTGTAAAAATGTAAAAAAGCATTTCAAAAATGTTTAAAAATATATTTAAAATGAGCAAGAATAAGCTGTTGCGATTTAAAAGAAAAAAATGTTAAGAAAGAGAGAGAGTGAACAGGAAAGAGGGAAATCAGTGGATCCTGAGGAAGGTGGAATAGGTGGGGAGAGCAGAATAAAGAGAGAGGGGTTGAAGAAGGTCATACAAAAGCCAGCTTGAACAAGTGAGTCTTCAGCTGCTTTTTGAAGGAGACCACTGAGTCCACTGATCTCAAGCTCAGGGGGAGAGAGTTCCAGAGTCTGGGGGCCACAGCAGCAAATGATCTGTCACCTTTGGTCTTTAGCCTGGTGCTGCACAACCAGTAGGCTTTGATCACTGGACCTCAGGGACCTGCTGGGGGTGTAGGGACTAAGAAGATCATCAATGTAAGATGGTACTTGTCCATGTAAGGCCCTATAGACCAGAACCAGGATCTTGAAATGAACCCTGGAGTTGACTGGCAGCCAGTGAAGCTGGAGGAGAAGCGGGGTGATGTGGGTGTGTTTGCAAACCAAAGGGAGAGCACCCAGAAGATAAAAGGCTATGGGTGTGTTTGAACCTGCTTGTCCCACCTCTTATGATCCTGAGAATAACTTAACGAGGCTATTTTAAATGAAGAAATGATGCTAACGATGGCCCATGTGTGTAGCGCTGCTACGTTTGCCTTTGCATCTTAATTACTCAACACGACTCCTCTGTGACGGTGATGAATTGCCTTGTGGAATTTCCCCTAATTCCCAACATTTATGGTAGCCCTTCCTGTTTAATTACTTGAGAAGAATATGGAATGGCTTCCGGAGGGATCTGTGGGGGATTTTAGGTGGAAAACAACAAAACTGCTCTATTTGCATCCGACTTTCAGGAAAGAGTTGCAGTATTGGCAAGAGGCGAGTCACGAGAGATGTCAGTCATCTGAAGACGCTCATTAGTGCAACAGGCTTCAAAGGAAGGGAATGTTTGGTGCAAATCTGGTGTTTAAACTTCATTTTGCTGTAATGTTGTTGCATCTGTTATTGTTTGAAGGGTCTTTTTACTAAACTGGATGTGGGAACATTTTCATGTTTTCTGAGCCGTGTGTTGGAGAGAAGTAGCTTTAACGTGGGTGTCTGAAGTCACTTCCAACTCAAAAACTTTGAGGAAACCTAATTTGTTTTTGGCGCCTGGTTGTGAGAACAAGTGGTTCAGTTCCTGCGGTGAAAAGCTCGTCACTTCCTCATACTCTAAAGGATTCAGCCTCCTCGTCTTTGTCTCCCAGCTTTGACTCAAAATCGTCCGCGGTCCCGAAGCTTCAGAACTGGTCAATCAGGAAGGCTGACGGATGAGCAGGTTGTGTAGTTCAGCGGTTAGCAGCAGGTCCAGCTGTCAGCGTTCTTCTCCTCTGCTGGCCCTGAAGTTTCCTGCACCTTCGTGCTTTTTCCAACTCACACGGGGATGACTGACATTGAGCACTCAGCCGGAATAATGATCACGTTTTGTGACACGTGGATCTAGAAATAGGGTTAGCCTTATTACTGGGGAATGACTTTCCTCTGTAACACATCCTGAACACCTCGGTACCGCTGTCAATCCCTTTGTCTCTCCCGTTTGTTCAGATCGACAAGATTATGAGCTCGATTGGGGCGGGAATCGGCAGCGGTCTGGACATCAAGGACAGCTCAGGTAATCCACGCCTGTGTGTGTGAATGTGTGCATGGGTGTGTGAGCTTGAGCGAATAAATGTTTTACAGGTTATGAGTGAACACATAAATGGTTGATGTTCTATAAAAGTTAGTTTAATATGAGACAAAACACTGTTACACATTTAAAAACAGAATCTTTATTAAAATAAACGTGTGATGACAGAACCCTGCATAGCGCCCAACGTGTCCAACCAGGTTTCTTTGTTCCAACAGAGACATCATAAAATAAAATGATCAAATTAATAAAGACTTTTATTTTGTTTATTTTGTATCTTGTCCTGTTCTAACAGGTCAGTCACGTGGTAGATCTGGGTGGCTCGCTGTGCCGGAGCAGATTTATTCTAACTTGTAGGGCCAGGTGTAGTTTAGTGGTTACCTACCTTTTTTCTTTGAGGACCCCATTGCCTGTGCCCAAGACAAGCCAGGACCCACAACTCCTACCCACGTACACATAAAAATGATAAATTACAAACAAACCTAAATGCATACAAGGTTCTAACTCTTCTGCAGAGTTTGGATTATGCTATCAGGTGTGTTTGTTGGGATTTTATAAACTTCATTTCTACTTATATTATCTTTGTAATCTCACAAACTCAGCTGAGACCATGTTGTGGGGACCCCCTAGAGGGGTCGTGAACCCCAGTTGGGAACCACTGGTGTAGTTGACCGAACTGAATTAGTGGCACGGTCGACTACATCTACCACAGAGTGGACAGGGGTAGAGAAAAGACACGGATAACTAAAGGTAGCGTGAATAAGACTAGAGATGTGAAAATCAGCTGAGAAATGTTTTCTTTAGAAAAGTCCAAAAGGGCTGAAATGAAGGCAACTGGACTTCTTTGGTTTCTTGAAGACGTCTCACTTCTTATCTGAGGAACTTGGTCAGTTCTGACTGTAATATGAGAGGGTAAGGTTTATTTCTATTGTTGCTCAATGAGCAGAGACTACCTATGAATGCCCCTCCTCCCTACCGCCTAATGAGCTTCAAAAAAGTCGGGCTTGCATTTTTGTGTGACGGGCGGATTTCCTGTAGATTAATTTTCAGCATAAACCTCTACTGGTGCCGTTCCAGTTGTTCTGCGGCACTGTTTCTCCATAGTGACTCCTAGTGTTTAAGAGGAGAACTGCATCGGTTAAAAATCCATTACGATGCCAGAAAAACCAGTTATGTTTTGAGTTTATAAACAGAATACTTGTTTCTGCTCACCACTGAGAACTGAAGGAGTTTGAAGATTTCAAAACTTGGACTAGACCATGCTTTTATGCATCATTTGTGGATTGTGAGTCTAGTTTCATCAAAGTGTTTAATGGTTTAAAACAAAATGCGTTCTGATCAGGGACTCTACTGAATTGAGGAAAAAATAAAATATCCAGAGTATAATGTTTACATATTCTTGGCAACAATAGGGAGCCCTTGAATGTAATTTTCACTTTAGAAGTGGGGGGGACACGGGGGTGGGTGGGGGTATCTTTACAGTATGCTCTAATGGGGAACAGGCTTCAACACAAACGGTTGTTTTCCGCTTGGTCCTACAGCTCAACCAGTGTCAATTTAATATAGCGTAATATTGTTTTCGGATGGTAAAAAGTGCAGGAGTCACACCTTGACTTTGGAAAAAGTGGGGGGGACATGCCCCCCCCCCTGTCCCCCCGAAGTCTCCACCCATTCCATGGGTCCCTGAACGGAACTATAAAAGGTATTTTCTAATCCGCTTTGCCTTACGCCCTGAATCACACACATGTTGTACTTCAATTTAAATGAAAAGTAATGGTGTGTTTTTCGACTGTCTGTCATGGAGTTTGAGATTTATTAGCTTGTAAATATTTCTAATTATATTTCTGATAAAAATCAGTCGTCACCACAGAAACTCTTCTCCCCAGCATAGCTGCTACTTACCTCATGGCCAGGTTTACGATGGTTTCTCCACGTTTAATGATCATTTGATGACCTAGAAGAAGGATTTGGAGCTTGCTAAACTAAGCAAGTTTTCTTCTTCTTTTCCGTGTCTGGTTTGATGACGTACATTTTGCGAGACGAGCAGTTGCAGCCCGCTACGTCTTTTCACACAAAACCTAAAACAACTTTTGGTGCCGTTCAAAAAGAAGCACTTTCGTGGCATCAAAATGTGTCTTTAAAATTCACGGATATCATATGTGAAATCCGTGGCACGTAACAAACAAGATAAAAAAATAACTTTTACCGTCGCTGAGGCTCCCATTCATTTTTGGGGGGCAGTAAAGGACCCATGGACAGGAAGTGGATGAGCATGATTTAATAATAATAATAATAATAATAAAACAACATTTTATTTAAAAGCACCTTTCATGACACCCAAGGTCACTTAACAGGAAAATACATTCAGTAAAATACATTAAAACAACAATAAAACACAAAGAAGAAAAGAACATAGAAAAAATTTAACAATTCAAATAAAATCAGAGGTCATAGGCAGATTTGAACAGGTGTGTCTTGAGTCTGGATGTGAAGAGGGTAAAGGTGTCAATATTTCTGATGTCTGTGGGGGAGTGAGTTCCAGAGACTGGGAGCAGAGCAGCTGAAAGCTCTACTCCCCATGGTAGTGAGATGGGCTGAAGGAACAGCAAGATGGAGGCATGAAGATGATCTGAGGGAACGGGAGGGGGTAGTAGTACTTATAAGGGCTGAAATTTATGGAGGAGAGAGGCTTTGGATGGCTTTGAAGGTATGGAGGAGAATCTTGAAGATGGATCTGAATGTAACTGGAAGTCAGTGAAGCTGCTGGAGAACCGGGGTGATGTGGTGAAAGGAAGGGGTTCTGGTGATAATACGGGCTGCTGAGTTCTGGACCAGTTGAAGTTTATGAAGGAGTTTGTGTGGGAGAACAAAAAGAAGTGAACTGCAGTAATTGAGACGGGAGGTGACGAGACTGTGGACAAGAATGGCGGCAGTGTGAGGGGTAAGGGAGGGGCGGAGACGGTTTATGGATCGAAGATGGAAATAGGCTGACCGAGTTATGTTATTATGTTATTTAGGCTCCTATTCAGACTGTAAACAAGAATGAAGTAAATATGTTTATCCACATGACAACAACCAACTTCTAATGTTCAGAAGTTTTATTCCATCAGTTACTCCATCCAGCCAATTTAGTCCCTTAAACTACTCATTTATAATAATAAAAATGATTTATTTCAGGATAAATGCGACTAAACCAGCAAGATGAATGAAGTCTCTCTGCAAGTCATGTAGACTTTAGTAGTGTCAGATGAAAGATGTTTCTACTCGCGGCCGCAATGAGCAAATCAAACATTTATCAGTGGGACGTCATTTTTCATTCACGGAGACGCGAGGAGTCGACACTTTGGTCATTGTGCTCGCATAGTTGCATCTTTTATAGGGTGAGAAGATGCGTCTGACTGGTACAGGGCAATTCTAAAAAGTTATTTTGTTCTTTTGTTCTCACGATGAGCGGACTCAAGTCCACAAATATTTTATGAGCACCAACTTCTAGAAGAAATAGATTCAGTTGAGTTTGTAGTTAATTTGACAAAATTCCTGTGAGGTTTGATGCTGTCTGTCAGATTGTCCTGAGTATTTTTGACCAAATCCAAGGAAGTTTTCAATTGTAATCAAGATGGTACCATCAGCTGTAGTCTGATGGGAATTCTGGTGAAATCTGAAAGGTTTGGCCCCGTCTGTTTATGTTTATCTGTTTTGCAGACACTAAAGCGATTTACAGGTTGAGATGTGAAATCCTGCTAGATTTATTTTGCATGTAAATTTAGATTTTGTGTGTATGTGAAGTATCTGTTTTTCACAGTTTCCCAACCTGCACACCTTCAGTCCTACTCCAGTCGTCTCTCCGTGCTGCATTCACCCCCTCTCTCCATCTTAACTCCTACATCCTTCCACCTCCTGATCCCCTCCTGCTTCCTTTCTTCTCTTTTCATCCATCAATGCAAAGCTGCTTCTAACTGTGGAAACCAGAGGCAGACAGCAGCTGAAGCCTGCTGCCAGGACACGCAAATTACACCAGTTGCAAAAATATATAGTTTCATGCATGCAGTCAGGATGGTGTGTGTGTGTGTGTGTGTGTGTGTGTGTGTGTGTGTGTGTGGGTGGGTGGTTGGTTGGTTGGGGGAAAACCTGGCACGAAGACAAAGAAGCTGGAACTGTTGTGATGGCTATTATCAGGCGAGCGAGCCAGATATATGTAGAGCGGCGTAGACAGCAGGGTGTCGATCGCCACTGAGGGAAGATAGAGACCGAAGGGAGACAGAGGGAAGTTAGTGAGAGGGGGTGTGAAGGAGAGAGGCAGCACTCAGTGAGGGAGAGAGGGAGAGAGAGGAGGCTGCAGAAGCATACAGATGAGTGGGAGTACTTGATACAGAGAAATCTACAACGCAGCAGCTCTCTCTGCCTCTCTCTTACACACACACATTCAGACACACACACACACACACACACAAGCTCAGGGTAGAAACCGAGCGAGTGCAACAGCTGAAAAGGAAGCGGTTAGTGTGCTGTTGGCGACAACAACGGTCGCTTCTTCTGTCAGATCTCTGCTCCCGGTCTCACCCAGCACCCATCCCTGGCAGGATTTAACCCGCAGGACAGGAGCTCTTCTCTGGACACAACTTGACTTTCTCCTCCCTTTATCCCTCCCTCCTCCTGGCTGGATAGAGACAACACAGCTTCTGGATGTCTACACGTTACCTGCTTCTGCTCCCTCGCATGCTGACCCCCGTCATCCCCACCATGCCCCTTGCCTAGCGTCTTTCCCCTTTCATCCTCTTTACCTCCCCTCCCTTCATCTTCCTCCTCCTGCTGCCTTGCCAAAAGACTCCTCGAAAGCATGGCGGGCTCGTTCGACAGCCACTTTGCCCGCCATAACATGATGTGGCAGTGCCAGCTCTCACAGCCAGACTGCCGCTGCTACCGCGTGGACGGCTACTCCCTACTGAAGCGTTTACCCCTCCATCCTCTCATAGGTCCCCGCTGCCCACTGCAGTCTGTCGGCCAGTGGCTCGACTCCATTGGACTGGTCCAGTATGAGAACCACCTGCTCGCCAATGGATTTGACAACGTCCAGTTCATGGTATGTTTATTTATGTTTTTTACCTTGGATTGAATATCTTGAAGTTCTGATCCACCTTTATTCCTCTTTTTATCACTTAATCTTCTGGAATTGAAGTTTCTAACTTCATCACGTTTTTTAAACAATCAAATATCTTTTATTGCTTAGTTTTATCCCCTTTAGTGTCATTTTTCCTCACTCTCAATATCATTAATGAAGCCGCTCCCTCCTGATGCCATGTGCAGTCCCTCCTACGCACAGAAATCTTACACCACATCTCCACCCATCTAGCTCCAATATCCAACTGCAAACATGCACGCTCTCAGTCTGTGCAAAGTTTAAAAATGAAGGTTTTAAGGTTTTTGCACAGATGCGCCTTTGCACTCACACGCCGTATGGTGCTTACAACCACCTGTAGCTGTAGGAACAGGATGCAAACGGATCCTCTCCTCCCTTAGATCCGATACTCCATCTCAGTGATGAGAATAGAAACTCGCCTGGTCCTTTTAGCTTTTTTGTAGCTCATGATGTTTATCAGAGAGTGATCTACACAGAGCAGTGAGCGGTGAAGGAGGAAATGAGGAGGAACTGGGGGGGCAGAAGAGATGCAATGAAGTTAAATTGAGAGAAACTGCAGCAGAGGCAGAAAGGCACCAAACCCCAGGATGCTGACTGCACGAGTTTCTCCTGAGATCGTGGCTCTTATGGGGAATCTAGCTCACATCATCCGGTGTTATTGTGTCCATTTGGCCTCTCTAATTGTTTCAAATCCTTTTTTTTCTTATTCACAATAAATCTAAACGAGATTTAAATCTGAAAACGCGCAGGAAGCCGTGTGGAGGATTTTGTTTTTGGTGAGCATGTGTGTGTTCCGGTGCATCAATCAGTGTGACCTGCATCTGTTCCTTTGGTTGCCCTGGCAACAAGGATAAAATCCCAGGATCTGTTTCTTTGTGCGCTTCTCCCACACGTGGTCACTGTTTATCTGCATGTTTACAGCTAGAGATTTGAGCTTCTGCATTATTTATTTGTGTTCGGAGCAGAGAGGACACGTGCCGCTCTTCCTCTCTCGTCTACATTTACTCGCTCATTAATAATTCAGCATCAACTAGTCGGAGAATGAATATGAACTGCTTCAAGCCGACCTCAGCGGGTTTATTTGGTTTTCTCTGGTCCAAGTTCGGTGTGATGATTCAAAATTCCCATAAATGTTTTATTTCTATTTCAATCTTTGCATCAATGTCAGTACATGAAGTAAATGGTAACGATTCCAAGTTTCTTCTGACCTTTTGGATTAAACCATTGTAACCCAACCTCAGGGGGACTAATAGAAATGAGCCGTTTGGCCACATTTGGGTATGATCTAAAAATTTGTATCAACCCTTTGATGCATGAATTATGAAATCTTCAACCATGGTTTTTTAAACAATTTTTTTCATTCGTCTTTAGGTGTGAATGAAATAAATTTCAACAAATATTTTTTGTAAAATTTTATAATTTACAAATAATTTATTACATGTCCACTTCAGTGGGCAGCGTGCATTCAGAGTATGAAATATGTTGGCTTGGCTTACTGAAGTCCAAACGGAGGGGCTCAAATGCAATAAAGTCTTCAACAGCTGTGCTTATAGCAAAAACAAATAAATAACAATTTTGAGTACCTGTCCACTGTAGTGACTATTATGCATCAAAGGGTTAATGCACATGGTCCCTCTTAAACAAATGTCATTCATTCATTCAACCTGATGCTCCAAACAAATACATTTCTTTTAGCTATGATCACATTAACATTTTAATGAAATGATGCATGAAAATATAATTTATCAAAGCTCTTTGGCAGCAGCTAATGTTGACATGCAAACATACTTTTAAAATCTATATTTTTTGTAAAGCTTGTGGGTGACTTCTCTCAGAATGGCTTCCATCTGAATCGAATCATTTGAGCTAATTTAGTAAACGCTAAAAGGCCGTGGCAGTGACTTTAAGAGTTTTAGGGATTTTCTTTTGCACACATTTGTCCTCGTGTCTTTGAAACACTTCCAGCAGCATATTAAGAAACACCTTTAGAAAGCATTAATAATAAGCAGAGCAGAGATGAGACGAACATCCCTGTGACTCTGGTTACTGACTTGTGTCTCTCTGAGATTTATTTAGGTCTTTAGAAATTCACATGAAAAATGGTTCTCTTCACTTACTGTCATTGTTCATTTTAACACTAATTGTATTAAATGCATCCTCTGAGGAGACAAAAAGGTCATATTTGATTAAACGCCTTGCATTTGTGTAAAATGAAGTCAAACGTTGGGTTCAAACTAAACAAGGTCAACAGATGTGAATAAAAAGCTGCTTGTTGTCTGTTTCAGGGACAGTTCGCGTTCATTTGTAGAATAAATTGCTTTGCAGATTAGTTTGACCTGAAGCTTGATCCATATTTCACTGTGAAATGGAAGCATGTAGTGCAAGGTGCAGGAGTTCACATGCAAATGAGAATGGAGGAATCCAGTCTGCCCGTTTATGTTCACCGAGGAGGTTTTTCAGGGTGGGCGTGTCTGGAAAATGCAACCAGCCAACAGAAGGAAACAGCAGCTCTGATGTTGCTCAAGGAGAGAAGTGGATCCGACCTGGAGAAACTAAACATGGACATTTTAAATGGATTTACATGAAGTTGGTGTTCTCGGTTAGCTGTAGGCACACATTCAGCAGAGAGAATAATGTTTATTGAACTTTTAACAAACTTATTAGTAAGTTGTTCTTCCCACCGGGTATTTATTCTACGTTGTGCTTGTTTGTGCTTTTCTGCTGAAAACACCTCTTCCTCTCTGGAAATGATGCTGATGACAGCAATGAATATAAATGAGGATTTTGGCTGCAGAAACAGAAAACACAGCAAAGTCAGGTGGCACTATAATTCTCCAGTTATTTTTCACTTTAAGCCTTTTGTTCTCACGTAGCTTTTTTTATTTTTTGAATTTTCTAGTATTGGAGTAGAAATGATGAGTGGAGTTGTGATGTAGAGAAGTTTAGATCCTCAAGTGTAGCTATAAAACAGAACTTCTGGGGCCGGTCGTACACACACACACACACACACACACACACACACGGGAATTCTGCAGTGAAACATGTTTTTATTTGGTTTCATTCAGCACAGAAACGAAGAGACGAAGCCCAGTTGAATATTCTCACACACTTGCATGAGTGAACAGTGCTTCAGTGTCAGACATCAGCAGAGATGAATAAGATAAGAGACGGTATGGGGCGTTTTACCCAGAAACATTGTTTAAAGGAGCGTTTTAAAAGAAAAGCATCGTCGTTTATTGAGGGGCCTGATTTCACACAAGTGAAGAAGTATTCAGCGATAAGTAAGTTAGAATACGTTAGAAAGGATTTGAATAATATGATCCTGAATTGTTGGAGAAAGGAAAATTAATTGAAAGGGGAAATATTTTGATAATGGAGCCGAGGAAAAGCTGGAGAAGGAGGTGAGGAACAGAACAGATAAAAAATACAAGAAACAAGAATCCACCATGCATCACTCTGAGGATGCATTCAGTTATACTTGAATGGTTCTGATGAGAAATGCTTTAGTGAAGGTCGGATGCTCGGCCACAATGAGGTTAAACCAGAGGACAAACTGGACAGAAGGGGTTTGGAAAAACAAACTGAGGATCTTCCGTCTTCTCGTTGTATCAGCAGCCCAACAGGCTGCTCCAGCTCCGAGAGTCATTACTCTGCTGGGGAGTCGTAGCACAGAGACTCCACCTCTCATTAATCAGCCCGGGAGCTGATCTGTGAACTGCACTATGAACGGACCAGCAGACAACTTACGGAGCAGAATGTGAGTTCAGCTGCAAAATGAGGCCAATCAGCTGCTGCCTCAGGCTACTTATTCACTCTAGTGAAGTCCTGAAGATGAAGTTTGGAGCTAAACCACTCAGGATTAGTGGGTGTGAACCTTTTCAACCATCAGCTATTTTAACACTATCAGTTACAGGAGAGCAAATCTTGTGAATTGTTTTTTATGCTATAGATTTCTATGTTTCTAACCATAAAGTTAACTTTAGGACACCTCCTCATCCCCTGAACTCCTTCATCTCATTCATGTTGAACTGAGCTCTTTGATTATGGAAAAAAAATCACGATAATTATTTTAACTGTGAAGACTCCATGAATGAGGAAAGCCTATCTAGTTCACATTTTATAGACTGTAGACGATGATTTAAGTCCAGTGAGCGAGGTGTGCCTAGCGCTGATTAAAACTCATGAAAGTATAAATTAGAACAACAAAAGTACTTTTAACACACAACAATCAACATTAAATATATTTTAATAACAGTTTAGACTTTCTTCCTGACAGAAATAGTTATTTGTGCAACAGTCGGCGTTTAGATTAAAGCTAATTTAGATGACCCTTTGCATCTCCGTCACCTGATACCACCACAACAGATGGCTAAATCATAGTAAACAGTGAGCGAATCCAGTATTAAACAAAGGGAGAAGTAGCGCCTGATATTGGTATTTTTTTGTTGTTGTTGTCATAATCCTTGATTTTTGCGATGTTTAGCCTGGTTTCCTCTAGTTCAAGCCCAGTTCAGTGGTGGCAATGGTGGGGCTCATACAGAGCAGCATCTACAAAAGTTACGGCTCACGACCGTTAGCTTGCATTCTCCCTGCTGCTGTTCACCGATGTAAACCAGCTGCCGACTTTGCCCCGCTGGATCAATAAAATGATGCGATAAACAGCGTTTCACTTTTGCACTGGAGCTAATTTTATAAAAAACTGTTTGGATCCCTACCGGTGTTTATTGCCGGCAGGGTCACCGGTTCAGCTGCTACTCACACCGGGATGATTTAACATATCTCGTAACAGTTACGGTCTTTGTGCTAAATAAATAACGCCATTTTCACAAACATTGGAATTATATTATTATAATAAAAAATTATTTTGCAATTCACTACAGTGGATGGTAAGACGCATCCTACATGGTGAAATAAGTAATATCAACACATCACATTTATACATT